CGCCACGATTCGATTAATTTGTCTGGCCAATTGGCGTGTAATTTGATGCAGTTTGCAGTCAAAACAACAAAACGACAAGCACAGCAAACGGCACGTCGTCGTCTTCTGCTTTGGCGCCACAAAACAAAAAAAAAAAAACAACCAGAAATTACGTATACTACAACTTATTCAGAGTCTTGAGTAACCAGACCAGAAAGATCATTGTAACCATTCATTGAGCTATGCAACATTTGAGCAAAGGCAAAGGAATATTATATAAGCCGAAAGTGTTGAATGTTCTACGATAACTCGACTTGCACTAAAAGATTTCAAGTATATCATGTCTACGGATAGTTCGACTGTTCGATTGTAACTCGACTTGTACATGGAGTTAATAGATAGATGATTTCGTTAATAATCAGGGAAAAAAGTTGGTACCTAAACTTCGTAGAAAGTATAGATAAATGTTAAATAAGTAATTTGCAGATATCGATCTATTTCGACACACTCTTCTATCGCCGCTTAGAGTACTTAAGCTTCGGTTTCCCTTGTCTTTGAACCCTTGTTTATCACGTGATTTGGGCGCTTAACAAGCAAAGGCAAATGCAAACGTGCCGCAACAGCAAATAAAACTCATGATAAATATTGAGCATGAAATCAAATTTAAATTTAAATACATAACATAGCCGAAAAACAAAAAATGACATCATTATTTGTTTGTTTTGCGTCGAATGGGCAACGCTTGAACTTTAATAAACTCTGCACTCGTTTCGTTCCGTTTCGTGCTTCTCTATTTGCCGTCTTTTGTCCATCCGTTCATCACGCTGCGTTTGGCTGCCTTTTTCGTGTCGTCTTTGTCCAATTCACATTTGTGACGTCAACAACGGGCCTTTGACCAGGTTTTAATTGTTCGTAAGCTTGCTTGATAACACCTTAACGTAAATAGTTGCGATACCCCTAATGCTCCAGTGTTAACAATCTGTGCTGACGCTTCGAAATTCGGGCTGCCTCTCATAGTTCAGGGTAAGCCAGATTAGCTTGGGGTTAAAATAGATTAGATTCTGATATCAATTTCAATATATACAAGAAGAAATATATTATTGTTACATGGCTAAAGTGAACTTCTTAGGTAAGGTTTATATGCACAATCTATAATTATTTTTAGAAATAATATAATTTACATATTGAGCTTCTGTGAGCCCTTTTTATTCCACTATCTAAAATGGATTATATTGGTCAATATTTAATATTTCTATCATAATATAAACTATGTGTGTTTCGATAACAAAAGTCGATTGTAAACTATCATAGATGAGCTTTTTTTCTACCTTAACTCACTTTGGCGCTCATCATTAGGGGTATGCCTTGCATTCATCGAATAATATTATCGAATATAATTGATTATTGAAATACAAATATGTTATGTTTGAGCATCTAATTCAATGATGAGGAATACAATGAGAGGGCTCACTTCCTCCTTTTAAGTATTAAATTAATTATCAATTTCGTATTGATAAATATTACAGTTCATTAAGGGTATGCCTCTCACTCAAAAGTCAATGTTATCGAATATAAATATGCGTGTTTTAACATTGTTGATTATTTATAATCATAATTGAGGGTATGCCCATCTGTTAAATTAACTTAAATTCAGACCTACACCAGGAAGAATAATGTTATCGATTTTCATTAGAGACATGCCTGGCTGCTGCTAAAATGAATATGATAAAAATAATTATAATAAATAAAATATAATACAATATATTTTCATAAAGGGAGGGTATGCATCCTGTAAAAACATCTAATCGTTGAGGGGTATGCACCTTGTTGAAAAAAAAAAAAAAAAACTAATCGAAAAGCATTAGCGTTATGCATTAGGGGCAAGCCTTTACCGTACTTGGGTCTAAGAAAAACCCATTGCAAAAGCTGAACTAAAAAAAATGTTTTCTCTTAAGCTTTTAAATTAGTCGCTCGATTAATTTGCAACTGTGTTTGTTTTAGTTATTGTCGAACGTTTCTTTTTGTTTCATTTTTGTTTTTCGCTTTTCGTTTTTATCAAATGCGATTTACAAAGCCATTGACCGTTGTCCGCAATGACATTGGGAATACACACGAGCGTATACTCTATATTGTATGCATATATATATATATATATACTTTATTGGCATTAACTGAAAGAAAGAGAACAAAAGTCACGCCATGAGTCATTGCACTTAACGTGGGTTCGTCCAGGCTGTGACTTTTACTTTTCAATTATTTTCCCTCTGTTTTTCTCACAGAGGCCGCCAAGAACGAGCGGGCGCATTACATCCGAATGATGGAGTGGAGGGGGGGGTTCCTACAAGGGCGGCCGCCGGTTCAAAAACTTTCGCATTTCGTCCTTGTGGTGTCAAGGAACTGACCCGGGCACAGCCCGGCTCGGCCTGGCTTGACTAACCCATTCAAAAACGAAAGAAAACAATAATAAAATATTATCATTCGTTGCGAGCTGGCGGCCTTTTTTATTTTATTGTCGCCCCGACTTTAATTATTTTGCATGCTCCGCAAATCCCTCCAGCAACAACAACAACAACAACAATAATTATCATATATGCGTATTTTTTATTGCTTCTTGATGCTTCACTCAGTGCGGCATCAGCAGCAGCTGCCATAAATAAAATAATTAACTTATTTTTAAAGTTAAAAGCCAGCGTAATGTGTGAATTTTCATTTTATTAACAACATGCTTAAAGCTGTGGAAATGCCTTTAAATAACTCAATTTGAGATGCGTAAGATCAAAATAAATTCTTTAAATATATAACATAAATATTCTCTTAAGTGAAAGATGTCGCTTTAGGGAAAATATATGAAGTGAAATGAAGAAATATTGGAATTTACAGGAAAAGGTCAACCCTGACCAAAATTACAAAAAAAAACAACCTTCTTATTTCTTTGTTCTTAAGTGGAATTTTATTTCTGTGATTAATATTTGCTAGGAAACAATATTATTAAACTAAACCTTGAGTAAAAGTGAAAAGGGGGGATATCTTCGACAATAGTTAAGCTCGCAAATGTATTTAAATTATTGAGTAAAATTTATAGACACTTTACTTTATTAATAAAATCCACTTATGTTTCTTGTTTCCAAATAAATTTTAAATTTTTCGCTAAGTCTGGTCATACTGTAACGCTCTAAATGTGGCTGCATTGCAACGCAAGTTGACAACACTGACATTCTGCTCATGTCTAACAGAAACATTTGCAGTTAACAGCTGGCTCTCATCTAACAGAAACATTTGCAGTTGACAGCAGGCGCTCATTTTAACAGAAAATGTAAATGTTATTAGTTTAGTTTAGTTTAGTTTTGAAATGAAGTTAAATAGTTACCATTATAATTGTTCAGCTTAATGAATGAATGTAAAAGTGTTTATTTATGATGTCATAGGCTCAAAAAAAAAAATCAAAGTTCTGGCATTCTCCCTAGCACAGTGCACTCATAAAATACTTCTTCATTGACTCATTTCCCAAGCGAATTATCAAGCTTGAAATGTGTGCTCACCTTTGACTTGCCAAAGTAGTTGCAATTCGGCAACCGGAGCATGACCGAGTCTTTCCCATTTTGGACGTGACTCATTGTTGCCATTGTGGCCTGATATCAATTGAAGCCATCTTTATGATGACACATTAACTATTGCCATTTCTATAAGGGAGGGGGATTGCGTGCGAACACCTCAACACATTAAAGGTTGCGCTCGCTTCTTTCTTGTCTGAGCTCATATGTACACATTATCGTTCGATTGCGAAATCTAAAGTTCTGTATGGTCGAATGCCATGCACTATTCAGCGCTGGCCATGATCTATAACCCATAAAACTCGGCTGTTTGGTTCAATGTACTCATTACTAAAAATGCTAATCACAGTCGAACGTCGCCGCGCTTTAATCAAGAATATATTATTATGATTATCGCGTTGGCAATTGTCGAAAGTCCTTGAATGGTATTTGTTTGCTTTTTTTTTGTAGTCTGACTTGTGAAAAACCAGTTGGCGGCTTTTTCAGCCCGAAACATTTGCTCAAGGTGAGCGTGAATCTGGGCGAGCGGCTCGCCATTAACTGAGAACCGAACTGAGTTTTTAGTGCTCAAAAACGTTCGACTGTAACAGTTATTATTATTATTTTTATTGCTTTTAGCATTCAAATTGAACTTTAAGTGATTTTTTATTTTATGTAATTGCAGACAATTTTTGAATGGGTTATGTTTGTTTGTCTTTTTTATTGTTCTTTTTTTTCTTTTTTTTTCCCAGTGTTGCATAATTAAATGCGACTCGAACAGTACTCTAATATGCAATTTGCTTGTTCAGCCAATAATTAAGGAAATACTTAACTGGACGTACATGTATTTATTTCCAGCTGCTCCACTGACATGTTAAACCATTTCAAATCGAAACTGACAGACCGTTGCAGAGGGGCGTGGATGAGGCGGGTGGTGGGGAGGGGTCTTGCTTTCAATCATTTTAATGAGCCAAACGAATTAACAGACTTGTTGTGGCAACATTTGATGGGGCGACTCCTTGATAGATCTCAGTTTTATCTTTCAAATTTTTGGCTTTTTTTCACTTTTAATTTTGCGAAAAGCTGACAATTTAATTGCGCATTTGACATTGCGCTCAAACGGCGACTCTTTTATTTTTCCGACTCTTTATTTTTGGTTTGTAGGAAGTTTTATTATCATTTTCATTGACCTCAATCCCCGCAAGGTCAAGCCAAAATAAACCGCATTTGCATTTGCCCCGCGGCTGAAGCTGCTTTTAAAATAGCCGCATCCCAAATCGCGTGATGTGTTTTTAATTGTTGACATTTGATTTTTGGCTATGCGAGAAAATAAATATATTTAAAATATTATTATTTATAGAAATAAAAGCCTTAAAAAAAGTGGGTTAATTTATATATAAGTATTTTGTGAATACTTCAAATATGAATTTATTTCAGCTCTTATTTTTATGCAATTTCATAATAATTAAACTTCAATTGATTTTTTTTCAGTGCATCTGGAACAAGTGCAGTTGCGATTGACAACAAAATCGAACAGGCAATGGTAAGTGCAATACTTTTCTTCATAAGCCAAGCTATAAATAAGAACCGCGAATCCTTGCCTTTAATAATGCATTCTGTATGTAGACGATGTCTGTGTGCGCCTGTGTTGATAAGCAACAAGAAGTTATCTCTAGAGCTGTTTTTATGCTGCTTATCAACGACCGTGAAAAATAACAACGAATTGCTCAAATTGTTATTCTGCAATTCAAAACAAAAACATAAAGAGCTGTAGATTACCTTTAAACCTGATCTGATCAGCGACTGTTGCACTTCAAAAAACCAATTGAGACTGTAGAAACCAGCACTTGAGTTTGTCCAAAGACCCGACTAACAGCCCGCCTCTCTCTGCGCTTCTCATTTGTCTGCAAATTTAGTTCAATTGAATTGATAGCTCGCTCGCTCGTATTCTTGTACGCGGCTATTTTTAGACTCAATTAAAAGAGCAGCTCACAGCACACAACTACAAGCTGACAATTGTGTTTATTATTTGCCAACTCTTTGTTAAAAATAACCCATCTCCGACAATTGAGTTGCGCTGCCTTCAATTGAACTGCGTGCCGCCAGCTCTTGTGGGCGGCTTGCGATGGAGCTGAACTCTTGCGCCCACCCAGCTATGTTGGGTTATATACGAACTCTATATGCGATATATATAAGCCTTGATTGTTTTGTTGGACTGTCAGAATGGTCGCTCTTCGAGTTGAGCCCAAACGAAACCTTCACAACAACTACAGCAATTGGACTACTATAAAAGAGCCTTTGAATTTTATGTTTAAGGGCTGTTGAGGTATTCTAGAGAGTCTTTAAAACTGTCTGTTGCAAACTAACATAGTTAGATAAGTGCTATCTACGAATAATCAATTATTACTTCCTTGCCTTCGTTCATTCACAATGTCAATGTTATCGTGGCATTTTTTATGGTATTCAACGGACCTTCTTCAATGGGCCAAAAGTGAATGACGTCAAATTATTAAAGATTATCTCAAAACGATTAAAGCTCTCAACTAATCCAAGCCGGGCTATCGATGGGCTATTAATTGACGTAAATTGCAGTTTCAAATAGTCCAAAATGTGCATAGGAAGATTCATGAGGAATATATTAATATGATTTATATTCGCCAAAGTACTTTACATTAGGTTTAAATTCACATTTGCAAACATTTTTGGTTGCAGGAACTTAAAGAAAAATCTCGGATTAAGTCTAAATCATCAATGATTCAATCAATCAATCAATCAATCAAGCTGGAATGTATATATATTCCATCACGGAACTGTCTGTGCTTGAGGCTTGACGCATATTGTTGCCACTTGTTGCATGCAGATGCAGCTTGTTGCAGCCGCTCGTTTAAGTCCAGTCAACTTTTCCTTTTGAAATCAAATCTATAACTCTTCAGACAGAGAAGAAGCATCAGCAGCAGCAGCAGCAGCAAAAGCTGACCATTGTTGGTCAATTGGGTCAGTTCAATTGCCGTCTTCTGCACTTTCTTCGGGCCAATAAAAAGAAAAAGAAGAGAGCGAAAGAGATAAAAAGCCCAAAGCTGATTCTGTGTCTGTGTCGTGTTTTGCCTTTCCATTTGTCTGAGAAGTTTCTATCGCATGTGAAAGTCAATTTTCCCAATTATATTTCACTTTTCTTGCAACAGGATATATGCGCGCTGCTTCCTCTTCTCCAGGCTGCGATTGCTTTTGACCTTGGCAAAAAAATAAATAATAATAAAATACATTTTAAAAGCATTTTATTCGTGCTGTGTTTTATTGTTATTTTACGAGCGCTTGCCTCGCGGTTATCAGCAAATTCTGTTGTTTACAAAATGGCAGACATTTGTTTAAGTGTGTGTGTGCGAGTGTGTGTGTGTGTGTGTATATGTGTGTGTGCGTAGCTTATCGCGCGGCGGCACTCGAAAATGCCATAAATTGTTTGCCATTCTGCGCTGCGCAAAGCATAAAATAATAATAATAATAATAATGAACTTAATAAAATACACACACACAGGCACACACACACACACACTATAATCGCTTAAGTACATTTTGTTGTGCCCATGGCAAAAACAATTTCAGTTTTTATCAAAATTATAATTATAATTATATCTGATCCAAGCGAAAGTGAAAGTCATCATGCCTCACTTTAAACAACAACAAAAACCTCCCTTTTTTTTTTTTGGATATTTTGAGTGAAGTGTGGAGTTATATTTATATTATTTTCGGTGGGACTTAAAAATAGAAATGACACCTGAAGCGCTCGTCAGGTGCAAACAAAATTACGTTTAATGAGTTGTTTGTGCGATTTCATTTTTAGATATCAAAGTAAAAACAATTGTCATTTTATCAAAATAGTAAAATGTTCGCATAAAAGCTATGCGATAAACTCCGGAAAAGGTGCTGCCGATTAGATAAGCGAATCGTAAAAGTATTCTAAACTTTGCCCATTCAAAGTGGGCGTTTTTTTATTCTATAAAGTATATATACACAAATCCAACTTATATTCGGAACATATTATAGATAGTAGCTGATAAACAATTGCCATAAATAATAAATTTGAGGGAGAAGCTTTTAACTTACGCAGAGGCACAGCATATTAAAGCTCAGCTTTGAATATTTAGCTAAAGTATATCTGTTTAGTATGAGATCTAAGTTTGCCTCTATAAAGAATTGTGTGTAAATAAGCACATCAACTTAATTCGTCGTTAAATTTTCATTTTAACTTATCTAGGCAAGGAGTTCGAATCTGGCACAACATATTTAGTCTCATCTTTGTAGACTTAAATACAGTATATCTGTTTAGTATTAGACATAATATGTGTGTCTATATATGATTGTATATATAAGGGAGAAGCTTTTAACGTACGCAGAGGCACAGCATATCAAAGCTCAGCTTTGAAAACTTAGCTAAAGTATATCTGTTTAGTATAATTCGTTTGTCTAAATATAGAATAACCACATAAACTCAATTCGTGTTGAAATTTGCTTACTTAACCTATCCATTGAGATCATTTCTTTGCAAAGAGTTCAATATCTTGTAATCGAAAGAGTTCATGCCCCGTCTGAGTAATTCATGTGACGACATTTCGAATCTGTTTTTTGTGCCTTTCATAAATTATTTAAACGCGCTGCAAAAGTAATTTGTTATCTACAAATAACGCGAATTGCTTATACATTTTTCGTAATTTATTTATGGCAGGCATCAAAATATGACATTTTTCCTGTTTTACAAATTCAGGAACAATGAGAAAACATAAACAATGCAAACACACGCCCTTCGTGTGGGCGGAAGTCTGGCGTTGGCTTCCTTAAACAATGCCTTCTTTATTTACTTACGTTTTGTATTTAAACATTTATATTTATATAAAAATTACTTTTATTTTGTTTATAATTTGTTTGCTTATCAATCAAAGTGCGAATCAGTTCATGACGTCACTTTTTTTTGCGCATTTAAAAAGAGTTTTTCATTGCCTTTTTTGGCAAACAATTTTGCAAGGCACACGACTCTTGCTCAGAGGCGGACATATACTCCGCCATAGAAATATCAGCAGTTGCAGCGATAAGAGCGGGCCTAGGGGCATAGACAATGATTATTATGCATAGAACAAACTCTGGCGCGATTATCTTTCCTATATAAGTATGTAGCCTCCCCTCGACACTCTCACGTTCCACTTTCGCCCGTTGCGCGCAAATGCCCTGAAAATATGTACTTAATCTGTTGAAGAACAAAAACATATTTCAGTCAAAACAAAACAAAGTCTAGGCGCCACTTGGCTGGCATTTCAGTGATTAAATATTACTTTATTTTTTCTTGAATCTTTAATATATACGTTGTTCCTGATAAGGTTTTTAGGTTATACTAATATTTAGTAATTGATTTAACAAATGCTTATCAGCTACTACGATTCGAAGCGCTGAAATCAAACGTTTGTCTAGAAGTTTTGATAAGCTTTTCAACTGACCAACGGGAAATTGAAGAGCATGTCAGGTAAAGAAATATCGAATACCTAGAATTTAGCATAGGGTATAATATATGTGTGCTATATAAAGTTTAAAAAACTCTAAAGCATACTTTTATGCTGTTCTTTCTAATCCCAGAACAAAGTGCTTGAAATATAAAGCTATATACATTTTTTACTATCCAATTTTGGCATTACATATTGACAAATTATTCAGTTTGAGAATTTTCAACCTTTATAACTTTTTGAATTAACATATTATACTTATTCTAATAGCAACAACATGTCCATAAGGTCAAAGTCAAATATTCTATAAATTTTGATTGGGAAGCCGTAATACTTTCGAAAACAAAGCCAAACGCTTAAAAAGCTTTACTATTTTTAGTTGAATAGTCTTGAAACGGAAAGGTAAAATAGAAAATAGACTAAACCTGACCCAAATGTTCATTTGCTTGAAAATGGGTTGATTTTGGACCAACTTATCAAATCGAAACGTTTTCTATATCTCTTGATATTTGCCTTACACACGATTTAAACAGTTTGTTTAACCGATTAACTTTACACTCGAAGAAATCATTTAAGCTTTACGCTTAATACTAACTTTGCTATCAGCCTCAATCGATTAAAAACCTTCACTAAAGATTATATGCCTTACCTGCCTCGTCGTGAACTGGCAATAAACTCTTAAATCTTATCAATTTGTCTAAAGTTAAGCACCAGAGCGGGCAGCGATAATTAACGAATTTCCTCAATACTTGACAGGAAAAAAACAAGAAAAGCAGAAAAGCAGAAAACATGTTTAATACACAGGGAAACAAGTCGAAATAACAATAACAAGATAAGAGAGCGAGAAGCGAGAAGCGAACGATAATGCATCTAAATGAGTTAATGACATTTATGGTGTTAATTTTTCAACGCTTCATAAGCCTATTTTGACTGGCTGCCGAGTCTACGGCTAATGTGGGTATTATTTCCAGCTCGAGTGACAAAACAAGGCCCACAAACGAGAGCCATAAAAAAAAACAACATAATGAGAGAGAAACAGAACAGATAAGATAAAAAA